ACACCATCCTCCTGCCTCCCCCAATCCCTGGGGGAGGTCCCCTCCCCACCCCCACATGCCATCCTGCTGCCACCACCCCACTCCACCCCCAATCCCTGGGAGAGGTTCCCTCCCCACACCCACACACCATCCTCCTGCACCCCCCAATCCGTGGGAGAGGTCCCCTCCCCACCCCCCAGCCCAGGTCCCTCTGGTGCCTGCTTTAATAGTTGCCAACGTCAATAGTTTCCCACAGCCCAGGGCTTCATCAAGGGCAAGGGTTTATGTTGAATTTGACACCTAACCCACAAAGTCTTCGCTTTCAGAGGGAGAGAGAGAGAGTGATCAGTCCCATTTGAAGTGGGAATGACATTTGGCCCAAGACTGGGCAGTTAGTTACTGTCACTGGGTGCACTACATGAGCCAGTCAGCTATGGGGTGGGAGGAGGTGTTGCGGAAGAAGTGACCAATTAGAACAGCTGGCAGAAGCCCCTGTGTTCCCCTCTGTGAATTGAGTGTGAGATACACCTCCTGGAACTTGTTGGTCATCACACCTCATCTGCACACAGCTATCAACCCTGAAAGTAATGATTCCTTGCAAGTTTTAAAACTCTTAGGAAGGTGTGCCTCAGTTGTATTAGGTCCAAGATGTTGTATTTTAGTAGGCCCATTTAGAGCTGTTTACATTTGAGGTGACCTATTCTCATCATTGACAGCAGTATTAATCCAGATGACTGAACTCAAAATGAACCAGTCTGGAATTGTGCAGTCATGATGAAAAATGGATTGGTTCGTATTAAAGTCCTAAAGTAAAGTCAATATTATTTTTTGAATTAAGAAACACAGATATATTTTTCCATACCTAAACATTGGGGAAAAATAATTTTTTTTCAAGTAAGTTTTTTTTCTGTGCTTTGAAATTTCTTGCCAGTGCAGTTAGTCAACAACAGTTAGCTCGTTCAAACTGTAGTTATGTTATACTTCATTCCTGTAGGGTGTTCAATACAATGAGTGAGAGTGAAGGAGCGCTAATTAATGGTGTGTCACATGGGTCTGAATAACTGACAGTATTAGGCCTTCATGAAGTAATTTCATGTAGAAATCTCAATACGGTTAATTAAACAACAACCAGTAATGAAGAAAAAAGCTGAATTCATTTTCCTTTTCTCTTAAATACCGGCACTACAAATCACTCCTTCAGCAGGTGCCACTCAAACCAAGCTACTGGAGGGGAGGTAAGACTAGCATGGGTCACCTTATTTGGCTCTCTCACAGTTCTTCCTTTCAGCTCAATATCTTTCATTGTTAGATTGCACACATTTGGAAGCTCACTGAATATTTGCATTCAACATATTATCTAGGTGCAGTCAAATAAATACCCTTTCAATTTAGAAACGTATCTGTTTTGTGGTTATATGACTTCATTATACTAAAATTGGAAAAATAATCATTGCTATTAAATAAAAATAACTAGGTTACTGATTGAGTGATTGCTCAATGCGTAGAAACTGTAAAAATATATTACCCAAGAGGGCTTGTATCTTTTGCATTATTTATAAGCATATTCTATAGGAAAATATGAGCACTGTTTATTTGGAAACTTTACAGGTTGAGGTATCAAAAATGATCAAGGGAATTTGCCTAATCACAAGGTTTAAAACTGAACAAAATGAAAGAATCTCAACCCACATTGAGATACTTCCCCATCAGCCCCATTTACAAATTGTACCACCTTCCACTGTCCTCCCTATTACCCCCCGCCATCCTCCAGTGTAGAGGAGACCACATTGTGAGCAGTGAATACAGTAGACTAGATTGAGTGAAGTGCATGTAAAGCGCTGTTTTATCTGAAAGATGTGTCTGGGACCTTGGATAGTGAGGAGGGAGGAGGTAAACAGGCAGGTGTTACACCTTCTGCAGTTTCATGGGAGGGTGCCATGGGGCTGTCGGGGGTGTGTTGTTAGGAGTGAAGGAAGAGTGGATCAGGGTGTCCTGGAGGAAACAGTCCCTGCAGAAGGCTGACCAGATAGGGGTGATGACTACTTATATACTTATCTCGCTGGAGGTGGCGGAAATGGTGGCTAATGATCCTCTAGATGTGGATGCTGGTGGGATGGTAGGTAAGTACCGGGGAGGCCCTGTCACTGTTGTGGCAGGGAAGAGAGGGGGTGAGGGCACAGGTGCAGGAAATGGATCAGACCTGGCTGAGGGCCCTGTCAACTACGGTGTAGGGGAATCCTCAGATGAGGAAAAAGTTGTACATTTCTGAGGCTCCCCTATGGAATGTGTCATTATCAGATCAGACTAGGTGGAGCAACCTGGGAAATGAAATGGAGCCTTTACAGGGAATAGGGTGTGAGGATGTATAGTCCAGGTAACTTTGGGAGTCAGTGGGTTAGTAATTGGTTTACCTGTACTTCGCTCAATCTAGTCTATTGTATTTGCTGCTCACAATGTGGTATCCTGTACAGTGGGGAGACAAAACACAGACTGGGTGACTGCTTTGCAGAACACCTATATTCTGTCTTGAAAAAAGACCCTGAGCTTCCAGTTGCATGTCACTTCAAGATACCACTCTGTTCCTTGGCCATCATCTCTATCTCAGGCCTCCTGCAATGTTCCAGTGAAGCTCAGCATAAACTGGAAGAACAGCATCTTATTTTCTGCTTGGGGACCCTGCAACCTTCAGGACTCAATATCAAGTTCAACAATTTTGGGGCCTGAGCACTTTCTTTCATATCCTTTCCCCACTCCCATAGAGTAGGCTTTGTCATGACATGGGTTGCTTTCACCTAAGCCAACGCATTTTCACCCACTGATGGTCCTCATGAGTAGCTTTTCTTTCTTCCAGGCTCACCATTACACAATTCTTTGTCTGTCCAACTGGTGTTCTGTCTCTCTGGGCACTATCTCTGCTTATTGTTTACTCCTCCCCGTCCCCCATCTCATCTTCAGCATATACACCATCCTTTTCCTGGCTACAATCAGTTCTGAAGGGCCACTGGAACTGAAACATTAATTCTGCTTTTTCTCCACAGATGCTGCCAGATCTGCTGTGTTACTCCAGCTGATTTTGTTTTCAAAGCTCCTTTTGCAAACTGTCTATATTTTGTGCCTGCATTTCTCCTTTCCTTGACTCCATCTCCCCAACTCTCCACATGTTTATGTGTCCATTCTTACCTTGGAGTTTCTCTGTTTCTTTAGTCTTACTCTTAGTATTTGAACCTCCACTCTCTCCATTTCATAGGACTATAATTCTTTTTGTAAATATATGCTTCAATCTTGGCCTTTTGTTACTGTCAGCCTGGTTATCATAAGGAAACATCTATCCTACACACAATGCTTATCAACACAAATGTATGTGTATTAACTTGATTGCTGCTGCGGTTATTGTGACACTACAATCATAGCTGTTGCTTCTGCCACCTTTATCGCAATCCCATATTACACAATTAAAATGTTTCACTTTATTTCAAATGTGTTAGAAATGACTGATAACTGTCAAAATAAGCAATTTTATTTTTTTGCCACCTACACCGAATCAACTTTTCAGTGAAAGTATTTAATATGCAAGTTCTTCAACATTGACACTGCCATTTTGATACAAAGTCAGATGATCAGGGTTAGCTAAACAGTGAGTCCTTATGTGACCAGCACAACAAAGCAAAGTTACTATATTCAGTTTCAAATTCTTGCAATGGCTATCACATTAACACAGCATGGCTAAGTGACTTATCTGAACAAATCAGAAGTCAAATTTTATAATAATTGTCAACAAGTCTTGCTACTCATCTTAATATTTTAGCCATTGTTGACACAGTTCACCATTTGCATCCATATGAAAGTGCAGTAACTGAGGTTAGGTTGTCAAATGGATGGTTGGCAGTATCATCGATCCTCCATTCTTGTTCAGAGTCACGTTTATATGAAAAATGCATATGAAATCCTGTCTGCAACAAAATGGGCACAAAGTCCAATAAATGCATCAAAGATTTCAGGTGGATTCCCATGAGAGTCAGAAGAACATAATTTATTGATGTATCAATTGTTGCAAGCTGATAACACGGATGCTCACTAAACTTCATAGCCGTTGTATGTTTGTTTCATCTTTCATCTTGCATAATTCCCAGTAATTACTTTTTGTTTTCCCCTTCAGGCAACTATAATATGTTTCATAAAGTTTAGTTTACTTTCAGTAAAGGTTGATGCCAGTGTAGAAAATGTTTATTTTGGTTAAAAGAGAAAACTTTTGTCTTAAGGTGGAAAAAAAGTGGTTTCCTCACCGTAGAAAATGTTTATTTTGGTTAAAAGAGAAAACTTTTGTTTTAAGGTGGGAAAAAAAGTGGTTTCCTCACCAAATAATCACAATTGTGGTGGGAAGGTGTCTTCAAAGTAAAATATTGCTACCTAGAACAATAAACAGAATTATACTTGGGAAATTTTAACAGAAACACAAGTTACAGTACTTAGTCCCTTTGGGTTTATGTTCAAGTGAAGTTTGTGAAAAGCAGTTTATGGTGAGGCTTTCATACAAATGTATCAGTTTCAAAAGAGTTCACTATAGGCTTAGTAATTTGTACAAGTCTAACTTCAATTGTGACTTGTAACATTGTATTGAAACCACACTTACGCAAGGTGAAGTTCAATACAAATAATGAAAGTTGTAGCCAGTGGCTATGAAATAATGTAAATCTTGACAAATATAATCTCTGTAAATCTGTATCATTTCCCCTTGCCAGAAAGATACAATGAAACAATTGTACCAT